ATGGATGTGCAGCCGACAAATCTGCAGCAACTGTGTGATGCCATCATGTCAATATGGACCAAACTCCCCGAGGAATGCTTCCAGCACCTTGTTGAATCTATGCCACCAAGAATTGAGGCAGTTCTGAAGGCAAAAGGGGGTCAAACCCGTTACTAGCATGGGGTACCTAATAAAGTGGCCGGTGAGTGTATGTCTTCCAAAATTAAACTAAACAAGAAAATTTTCAATTGAAATCAAATTTCACAAAGCAGAATTAAATTCTCATAACCCCATGGTCAGTCACACATCCATAGTTTATTTTATTGTAAGATGTTGGTTTATTTTATTGTGAGAACATTCCTACAAACTTAAAAATATCAGAATTATGTCAACCACTTAATCATTACCCTGCTTGGGTACCCATTCTGAACATATTTAAGATGGAAGCCTGCTGTCATATAATATACTATACTTGCTGTCACCCAGTGAGTTACTGTATCTACCTGGTGTCGTAGCTTTGAATTATGGTATCTTATAGTTCTAAGAAAATTGATTTGTAAAAAACATAAAGATGATTGTTACTGTTGTATACTCTGGAAAAAAAATTTCCAATCCTGTTAATTATATCTTAAATCATCAGTAGTCAACCTGCGTCTTCTCAAACCAAAAACAACATTTAAAATTCTCTCTGATCTACTTTGTATAATCCAATTAAATTAAATGTAAAAATGCCATGGATGGGAGGTTTTTGTTAGATTATTGGAGCTTTTATACACTTTCTGTGACCTCTGGATCCTTCGTTCAGTGCAGGCATGCCTTTTTCTTTTGCTTGTGAATTTTAAACTGTGTGCCTTGTGGTGACTGTCCTCTTCCCTGCCAGTCAGCAATCCCTGCTGACTGGCCTGTTGGAGGATGATTTGTCTAAACAGAGTCAAGTTGCTTAATGTATCCAGATAGCAAGTGTGAGGCGGCAATAATTTGTCCACGTCCCTCACTGAGCTCATATGTTTGGGCTGTCATTGTTCCTCTCCAGCCTGTTAGTTACGGTTGGCTGAAGCTTTCCTGTGTCCTCATCAGAGAGGGGGTTAATCTCACTCAGCGCTGGGGTGGAACTTCCTATCTGAGTCAGTATTTGATCTGATTTAGCTTCCCTCTCTTGTGGTACTTTTATAATGTGGAAGTAAATGAAAATCATGTTTACTATTTAAATCATATCACATATAGGTAAACTCGGCGATCATTAAGCTTGCATACATTTGTAGTTTGCAATATTTTTGGCTCACATAATAGAAATATTTTCTATGTTTTGTGTCGTAAATGTCTAAGTTTTTTTGGAATTCGGTTTAACATCTCTTTGGATGTTTTTTTTTCTTGAAGCAAGATTACTGTCTCCATTGCCAATGTAGAGTACATTTTTGAAATGCTTTTGAAAGATTAAAAAAAAGATGCAATTATTGTCTGAACTTCATAGTCACTGCTCCAGATGCTTCCAAAGGTATGTGGATCAGAGTCTATTTTAGAAGTATCCCTGGGATTAAATTAGGTCACAAGGTTTCTGGATTCTCCCCAGTGAGGACACATAGCTCACATGGACATATCAGACAGCATTACACATAAGAAAAATGCAGCATTAAAACTAAAACAAACTTCTTCCTCATTTGCATGGACTAATTGCTGCGATCTTAACACATTATTAAATCTTTGTTTGAACACAACAAGATAGAATCACAACCTGCTGTATTTAGGCAACTATCTTGCAAATAGCATTTGACTCATGCTTCAAAAGTTATCCATTGAAAAAAAATTAAACAGCAAGTTTAAACTGTATTTTGACTATCAATAATTTTGCTGAAATTCCAAACAAATTGTAGTGAAATAGATGAATGAGAAAATAAATTTTTTTAAAATAAAAAGATCTGCTATAGACAACAAATTCAACGCTGAGAGATTTTTTATATTCCATAAATCGAACTAAAATATTATCTTTGTACATATGCAAATCAGCAGTTTCTCTTATTAATTATGAATTCATGCTTTGAACTAAATATATAGATGAATTAATTATTTATATGATTTTATGTCTCAGCTAGATGATGCAGCTTCTGCTGTAATTTAAAAAAAAAAAATAAAAGATGCTAATCACTTGGCTAAAGACCATGCAAAGGATGTTATCCTATGTTTGAGTCTTTCCTTTTGCTTGAACTCTCTTTACTCTGCAGGTTTACAATCCATGAATCCAAAAAAGGAGACAACATTCATCTAGATGCTGCTGCAAACATTCTCCCTGTCAGACTTGTCCAGCGGCAGCATGTGGGAGGGGGTTGGCCAGAGGAGGTGGGGTCTGTCCCATGTGTCGACTGGCGGATGAAGAGAAGAGGGGCTGAGCACAGTGAGTATGAAAAGATACAGAGTACAGCGCAGAAAGAGACTGCAGACATGAGGGAGCACAGTGCGATTTATATGCTTGGAAAGGCTGCAGCAGAATGGTCCACTAAGGAGGTAAGAACGCTAAAATCTGAATAAATCCAAGGAAAATAGCTGTCCTTTTTCTTAATATCATTATATTTATAGATCTTTGATTTGTAATTTTGTATATTCCACATAGTGCAGTTTGTGAAAATTTTACAGCAAATACCTTAGCAGTATGTAAAGACCGACCTGATTGTGTTGAAGGTGTCATTTGTCCTTTAACTCTCTTCTAGGTTTGTCTCAAACTAAATCCTTTGGATCCTGATGTTTTTGGTCCAAACATGTGAAACAGACAACAATCGGTGAAGCTTGCAGACCCTCAGCATGGGATCTCTGTGGAATATTTATTTGCTTTTAACCCTTTCACTCCCTCTCTCACTTCATGGAGCTGCTATAACTGAAGAACATGCAAAAGAAAGACGTGAGATAGACAACGACAAGGCAAGACGGTTTCTTACAGAGCCCCCAGAGAAAAGTCGCCAATCAAGTATTTCACCAGACAAGTTTATGTTTGAACCTGAGAATCTTGACTTTCCCACTCATCCCTTGAGTTGGCCCTCATCATCATCTGAGGACTTGGACAGGCAAGGTGTGATTGGTGAATACAGTGACTTCCAAGGAGCTATTGAGGAGTCTGTCTATCATTCCAGTGATGGAGTACTAACATCAAGACCTTCAGACCCTCTGTCAGAGGACACTAACCTCATGGAGAGTGTACAAACATCCAGCTCTGCCGTAGAAAAGGCTCCACAAAATCCTACAAAGGAGCAAATACTTAACTTTTGGTCAAATCAGAGAAGCAGAGTTCCAACAGAGCATCCTGCAAAAATACAAGAGGAGCCAACACTGACAACACTGGAGAGTCCCAATTCCAATATTAATTTTCCTATGCCTTTTTCTGACTCCAATATGTCAGTCATACCTGATTGGAACTCAACCTCATCACCATTGATTAAACAGAATAACAACCCCGAGCACAAAACTTCATCAACAACAACAAACAATGGGGGATGGACTAAAAGCATTCCCATATCCACACAGGGAAACCAAATTGGCACAAATCATTCCACTGATACCATTTTTATCAAAAAGACAGACAGAATGCAGGGAACTATAGGTAAGAGTCATTTTTTAAGTTCACAGAAAATAGATTAAAGAGATAACTAGTACTACTTGTAATATCTGTCTTTTTATAATTAGCAGAGTTACCACATTTCATCCATGCAGCAGAGTTTATGTGTCACTATATGCTTGTCTTTCCTTCACATAAGTATTCCCACTTCATTGACTTTCCCAAATGTAATTGCTTTCATAATACGTACCTGTGCATTATTCACTGTTAAAGTTTATTGGAAAATGTGTTGATCAGATACCACATGTGTTTTTATATTGAACTAATATCAATATTTGTATATAAAAATGTGAGCATTTTTAATGTGTTTTGGCATTAAGGCCACATGAATACTTTACACAGATAAAACATTCCTTAAAAAAATGCAATAATTGTAACATTATCTTGTTTTTGATCCAGTATAGCTAGACGTCTTGGACTAAATATGCTAAATGAACAATTAAACCTTAAAAAGCAATTTATGTATCACTACAGCATATTTAACAAGGATTTGTTGCGTTAAAGAATTTCTTTGCGTTACTTTTAACCACTAGGCTTTTTCTTTCATCATAAATCTATTAGTTAGTCTTTCCTTCACATAATTATTCCCAATACATCCACTTGCCCAGATGTAATTGCTTTCATAATACATACCTGTACATCAGTCAAGTTTATTGGAAAATGTGGTGATCAGATGCCACATACCAGTATTTACTGTAAGCAGTCCCCATAGCAATCACTTGTTGAGGGAGTTTTGTGTCAACAGGCAACTTAACTAAATAGGAATGTATGCTTTTTCACACACTTGCATGTCTTAGTATGATAATGTCTTTTTTTGGTTTGCTTTGTGATTAAGCCAAATGCAGTTTGGTTCAAATCTAATGATACTCAGAACACAAAAGAAGCTTTACATAAATCCTTTTAAAAGAAATTGGCAAAATTACCACCACTTTTTTTCTTAGTGATGTGCTGTGTTGTCACAGTGTCTTTGCTTTTAAATGAGGTCAGTAAGTAGGATGCATTTCATTTTTAAACCAGCTAGTTGAGTCACCTGGTTTACATATCATAAGCATTATTTCATGATTATGAAGAGATACAGTACTTCTCCCCTTGTCCACATATTCAATCAGTTAAAGCTAATTGACCACCTAATCTGATTCTCATATATAGCAGAGCACATCTTGACTTTTCTTAATAACAGCCTCCCCAAAAGAAAACAGTAATCAGGTCAGTACTGGCTAATCAACCAATTACTCTCCCTCAGTCACATTCACATGAACAGCAATGCACACAACTTGCTCTTGCTCTCATTTCACTTTGTGTGACCCACTTAGAGCTTCCCAGTTACAAGCCTGCTCTGTTTTATTATGGATTAACTTCACACATACACCGACTGTTCACTGCGGATCTATTTTTTTTTAAAGCCGTCAGATAAATAACATGTTATCTTGAGCTGCTTTGTTTTCTTTACTAATCTAACTGATACAAAAATTTAGTTATTATTCACAGAGGTAATCTATACAAAAAAGCAAAGCAATACAACACAATCAGATAACCAATAAAATCAAGTAGCGCTTTTAGTCACAATGGTGTTTTAGCATGGTAAAATGCTCTTAAAAGCAATGCTCTGCAATTTTTATTTTTGTGTTGCTTTTTCTGTTTTTCAAGCTCTCAACATGAAACCATTTCTTTATTTTATTTCGCCTACAAAACAGGTATACAGTAAAAAACCAAGTGTTACTTTAACACCTACAGAGTTGAATATAACTCTTGTTTTAGATAACGTTTGGTCCCACTCCATATTCCTTTAAAATTTGCTCTATAGCCAGTGTCAGATTTTTAGAGTTAATTTTACTCATATTAGTATCAAAATCAAGAAGACCGCTTAGAGACTTGCAGGTAATTGACACCGTACATAGTAAAAGTTACACTGCATGGCTGTCAAATCTTACACTAATTAACTCCAACACTTGATTAGATTTACACTCAGTATTGTTGTAAATATGTAATTTAGAGTTAAATAGGTTAACTGAAATCTTAGCATCCAATTTTTGCTGTGTATGAGTCTTGGAGGTTTAAGCCAATGGCAAGCCATTTTATGCTCAAACTAATTTTACAAAATAAGAGTTTACGAACATTCCTTCACAGCAATGACAAAAACTCATTAACAGTGATAAAAAATGGTTAATCACGGTTGTAGCCACTAAGGATTGCTCAATAGTTGTTAGATTTAGGCACCAGTTATATTTTCACATAATGTCAAGTTGGTATAAACGGGTTATGTTTTTATATTGAAATAAGAAAAGAAATACTGAAAGGTTTAAGATGTTTTTTTTTTTTTTATAAAAAAGGGGAATATTTTGTAGTGTTTTGGCATTAAGGCCACATGAATACTTCAGACAGATCAAAAGTTCCTTACAAAATGCAAAAATATTGCAAAAATATCATCTTGTTCTGATGACCCCGATATAAATGAATAATGAATGAATTACTTTTAAAAAGTAAAAAGTGAATAATCCTTTCCCGTATCACAATGTCTTCTTTTTGCAGATGAATCCAGGAAAGACAGCCTGAATATCCCAAAGGCCACCAATATACTGTTGCTCGAGGGTAACATGGATATATCCACCACACCGTGTAAAACATCAGATCAGTCCTGGACTCCCACCTACCCAGAAGATTTTGCACCAAGTGAACCCTTGCTGCCCTCTTTGGCTCTCAGCCCTGCCATGTTGGTACCTCTGTATTCCGACTGGAACTCGGCCTTTGCAACATGGGGATTTGCGTGGGAAGCACACATCTACTGTATGGGATCTGCCTTCACGTTGATTTGTTTAATCTCTGTGGTTTGCCTGCTTGGCTTGCCTCTACGGTGCCCCCCTGGAGTTGGTTTTTTTATGATGCTACACATTTTTATTCTTGCATTTGCAGGGATCCAAGGTTTCATTTTGTTGTATGACGCTTACAATGCCCAAGATCGTCTTCCCACTCTGGTCACCCAGCTGCTCTCAGAATTACCAATGCCCTGTTTGATAGCAGCCTTCTCCTTGGCCTTCTTCCTTCTGTCCTTGCACACACGGAGCTATCTTTCACTGCGACTTGCTATTTCAACATCATTCTCAGCTTTGCCTAAGCCTTCTCTTTTGCTATGCATTTGCCTGTTGCAGTTTACGATCTCACTAGGATGGGTTGGACTCTTCCAGTTATTCCATAGTCTCCCTACTGTGATAATTTTGATCCCTCAGGGCTTGTTTGTGCTTCTAATCATCTTTCTTTCATTCTCCTACCTCATCTTTTATTGTTTGAAACAAGGAAACACAAAACAAATTTACAGGCTGAGTGACAATGGAGAGAATGGATCACCAGAAGTAGTACGACCTGTACGTTGCCCTTTTTCCAAGGTGGAAGACTGGGATAGAGCAGCAGGAGCTGGGATAGGCAGCTCATTATGCTTGCTAGGATGTGGTGGTTTTCAGCTTTATGGGATACTGCATGCTCTAGGTTTTGGTGGGGTTGTTGGTTTTGGCTTCCAGCCATGGCCTTGGTGGGGCTATCATGTTGGCTGCAGGTGCTGTGAGATTGGAGTGTGTCTAGGTTTGTCCATTATCGGAACATATCCTGTGTTCTGTAACACCAGCTCTTCTCTGAAAACTATAAGCAACCCTAGGCCAGGATCCTGGTCCCGTCTGTCCTGTAGCTCCCCTTTGCAAGAAAACGGTGGGGCCTCACTGGAGGAAGCAAACTCACTGGCCCTCTCCACTCATGAGCCATGGTGCCAGGTTAAGCAGGAAAAGCTGGTGGTGTGTGATGTCAACACCAAGGAGCAGTCAGAGACTCTTGCTCTTTGCTCAGTGATTGACAATCCCACAAATGATGTTGGTTGCGCAGACAATTACAGCTTAAGCCACAGTACTTTACCTTTACATACACCTCAAAACCCACCAGAAGGTACAGATAGTGACTCTACTGGGGACCTCCGACCTCCATCTCCCATAGACCTGTCCCGCAGTATAGACCAAGCTCTTTTTAGTGAGTCCTTATTTTCTCACAGCATTTTTAGTCCACAAAGACTGTTTCATACTTCCTCAAGTGTTTCATTGAGCTCTCCGGACCAAGTTACATTAAACCAAGGGCCCAAATGTGTTGGAGATACTCTATACCGTGCCTCATCTTGTGGAGACGTGGATCAAGAGAATGCAAAGTCCTGTACCAGGGCTTGTCAACCACATGCAAGTTTGCTCTCTCACAGGAAAACACCAATACCAAGAGATCAAATTGACTGGAAAGGAAGCATAAGTGGTTCAACCCATGGTTTGTGCAACTATTCAAAACAAACAGGAAAGTTGCGTTCAAATTCGTGGACAAACAGGGGCCAAAGCAACTTTCCAAGAGCAATACCTTCTCTGTCTTATCACCGAAGATACAGAACTCTAAGCATGGCCTCCCAGGACAGTCAGGCCTCTGGCCGAATAGCAGGAACTAAGCAGCTCAGTGAAAGCAAACAGCTGGAATGGGATATGACTGTACAAGCAGAGTTTGTTAATGTATGTAAACAAATTGATGCCCTGAGTATGTGCAGTGACACCATTGAATTGTAATAGAATTGAATGCTTCAGGTAAAGAACAGATGATACTGTAGAGAGGTTTTGAAAAAAAAAAAAAAAAATATATATATATATATATATATATATATATATATATATATATATATATATATATATAAATATCACCCATATTGTAGGTAGAATTGATATAACTGATTCCAGGCGGCCTGGTGAATTATCTGTAAATAATGTTTACATAAACAAAAAGCTTTTGCCGCACCAAAATTGAACTATTCCCATACAGTTCAGAAATCAGATAACAACATTAAACTAAAATCACGTTTAAAGTTATCCTTTAGAAAAATGGATGACAATGGTGTTTTATCTGCAGTACAAATGTAAGGGTTACAATGTAATAACCTTAACACCTCCTTGTAAATTGAGACTGACAAAGAAACTGAAAAAATATTCTGTGACAACCATATGGATATGAAGTGTTCACCATCTCCATGTGACATCATTTTGATACTTTTTCACATTTTATTTTGTTTTATTTATAAATAACTATTGAAATTAGTATAAAGTTACCCCAAAATTGTAAAAAGGTTCCACTAAAGATAATTTAGAAGCTTCACTTAGCTCTTCAATTTATGTAGTGCTTTTTAAAGGTGGTGTTGAATTATCAAAAAACTTCAAGATATTTATAGAAAGCTTTATGTGTTCATGAATTTAAACAATAAATTCAACATTTTTGAATAGTGCCAGTGCTGAAGATCTTACTTTTATAACAAAGATTTTGAATGTTTTGTTTTGTTGTTTTCTACGATTAGCGCACAAATCACCATAAAAATAAAACTTTGTATTTAGAGACAAGTACGAGACAAGTATGTATTAATTTTTATTAGTATTTTTTGCAATCGGAAACAATGATATTCTAAATGCTTTGTTCGAATGTCATAACTGAAATCATATTGTAAAGTGAAATAAAGAAAGCAAAGAAAAAATTATTTTTGACTCTTTTCAGCAAATCTTCAGCCACATAACAAGCAGCAGACATTTGTAGCCATCCAGTAGGTTCACTGTTTATCTTTCTTCACTGCAAAACAACATTACATGATTTAATGTTTGTGGTTTATTTTACTGTCACAAAACTTACATCTCTTCACATATTAGTGTTCAAGTGTTACATGGAAATGCCAAGAAGAACAACAAACTTGCAGAATCATATTGAAGCAGAACACTTGTACGTTTACTAGACATTAGGTAACATTATTATTATCAATTTTGTTATCATGAAGGATAATGAATAATGCATTGTCAGCATTACTGAATACATATTGTAAGATCAACTGGGTATAAAACGACCCCAAAACAACAAAGATAAAGAAGGTGGAGGGCAAACAGCACTGATTGAAGGAAATATGTATTAAAACAAATATGAGTTAAAAGCACAGAGTAAAGACAATAAAATTGACCTGATATTACTTAGAACCTGTGATGACCTACCCTGCTAACTATGTCTCCTGTCCTGTAAAGAACATGATGCTAAAATTTCAAAAACAGAAATTGGGCTGCACTCTTACTGAGCACATTTCAGACCCTTGTTTGCATTGTTTTGAAACCTTTCATCCAGTAGGCTGGTTATTCCAATGTATTCATACTTTCCTTGAGGAAATCAAATCTTTTAGTATGTATTTCAGGTCTCCAACTTTGCAAAAGCGGAAATACATTTTTTAAGCATTTTTTTTCTACCAAAGGTGGCTTTTATTTTGTTTTACATTTATTAACACAATAGAAACCCTAATATGCTGTAAATTATTGGTGTTCCCCCCAACCATTATTAAAACAGATACAGAATCTTCAAAATAAAAACCCAACAGCAAACCACATATATTCCCCTGTCATCAGTATTAGGTTTGATATTTTATTACTTTCATATATTTTGAAATATAATATTAATACTATTTCATCATACATTCAATAGTCTGAACTGAGGTATATTATTATGTATTAGGCTACAACCTATAGGTTAGAAATGAAACATTTTCTTACATAGAAAAACTTTGAAATCACTTAAAATTTCTATATATTCTAATGGTTCTATCATAAGGTAATTTTCTATTTTCTTTGGACAAAAAAATAATAATAATGTTGCAGAAAAGTCAATATAAACAACAACCAAGTAAACTGAAAAGGATGCCAAGATGCAAACATGTCATTAAAAGAGAGGCGCTAGTCACCTGAAGTTGTATATAGTGCCAAAAGGTATTAAATAACAGACTTTAAAAAAACAACAAAACATTATTTTTGCAAACCAATGCATTGACCTTTAATTAATATACAGCTCAAAATAAGTAAAACATTACAAACTGTAAGATAAGACTTTATAATTACAATAACTGGTGGAGTCTGTATGTTTGTGATCTTTTTATATATATTGAGCTTAAATAGACAAATTACAAAGTATTGCTAATAATAGACAATTTGTAGATTATAAACTTTGGTTGATAATAAAAGATAATTAACACTTGAAAACACTGTCTCACTGATGTTTATGTTTGAACTTGCTGGGCTTATACCTTTTTTAACAAAAGAGCATCACAGAGCCCTCTGATGACATCCCTGCTGTTTCTCTAGAATTTGAAACATAATATCTGACTATTCTAATGGACATACTGCATGTATATTGTCAACGCTATAAGATCAATCACAAAACGTCCAGTGACCATATTGTAGTTGATATTTGTTGCACTCTGAGACCAAATGCTCTGTAAACTAATTATAATAGTTTCATGCAATATACTAAAGCAGTGTTGTAGCCGTACCTTGTTTGTTAGAGTATAACTGAATGACTTTTCATTATATCATCAGCAATAAATAACCTACATGTAAAGCATCTGAGGGCATATGTTGTGTAATGAAAAATCCAGCAGATTAGAGCTATAAATGTTTCCAGCCTTCTACTGTTGTGAATACATGAGACAGGCAGAGATTTTACTGGATGGTCTGACTTTCTGTCTTCTATAACTTTGCTCTTTCACCTTATTTTAGTGGAAATAGAGCTATATTTTAAAAATATCAACTTGGTGTCAATCATTTATTCACATGAGTCCATTACATCGACCCAGAGCAGCCGGGGTTGGGACATTTGGTCCTGATCTCGTGTTTCCTCGTCCTCCTGCATCATTGAAGCCACTTCTTGTAACTAGAATTGGCAAAATGAAGTTAATAACATATGTTATTAGTAAAAGTGGTATCATCAACAGGGATGAGGCACAATGATGAAAGTATAAAATTACTTACATGGCACAAAAGAATATCTAACAAGATGGCATAAAAAAGAAGGAAAAATGATTTTTCTGATGTTTCAACAGCAAAATTGTATTCAATGTCTCAAAACACTTTCATGCCAAAGACACATAGTTAAGGAAACAAGAGGAAATAGGTGATGAAAGTCTACACTAAATCAAAAGTTTCCCATTGATGAAATGGACATCTATACACAGTCATAAGAACTTCAAAGCACAGCGAAAGAGGTAGAAAGATCACTGTCATGCTTACGAGTGGAGGCCATGGACTCCTCCCTCCATCTGAGCCGACATGGTTCTCTTCTCAAACCTCAACTCTCCTGAATACATCATAGATCTGGAACGCGACACACAGTCTAAACTTACCAGAGTTCAGACTAATACAAATTCTATATTTATATATGCATTTATACTAACCTCAAAATAGACAAACTTCTGGCCCCAATGTCCTGACAGCCATGCTGTATCCCAGCAATAAGGTAAGGAACAAACTTTTGCACGGAGCCTTTATCTTGAACTGATCCTGAGACCCCTTGAGCCACCTTCACCTTATCTCCCTCACTGGACAAAATGAAGCCACATAGTTAGGTTATATAGAACAGAATAGTTTAGATTTTACTGCCTAGTCCAAAATGTAAACACAAGCTTTCACCAGCCTTTCTATTCTATCAATATTAGCAGGATTGTGAAAGACGAGTTAGTAACACCAAATTAAAAAATCTAATCTACCAGGTACAATTAAAATAAATTTTAATTGCCTCATAGCAAAAATGTGCGTATTTATACTATATGTCATTTATAAAGCTGCTGTCACACTGTTTTCTGTCTTCTCAGCTATGCTGGTGTATAATAAAGCATGTGTTACATGAGTATGAACATGACAAAACAACAAACTAGAGGATTTATTGAAACATTGATCCCTGTCACATCTTGAAAGTATGTGTGTCACATTTGTGTATTTACATCAATTACTTCCCAAGACAGCATCAGGACCTAAGTATTTTGTATTTAAATTTAGGAGGAGTGGTGGCCCAGTGGTTAAGGCACTGCGCTTGGATCTCAGAGGTTCTGAGTTTGAGCCCTACTCCCACAGACTGCCACTCTGGATCCCTGAGCAAGACCCTTAACCCCACACTGCTCCCGGGGCGCTGCACAATGGTGGTCCACTGCTCCCCAAGGGGATGCATTAAATGCAGAGACTTCATTTTGTTGCTTTGTACTTGTGACAGCATGATTACAATGATTATATTCTAAATGTTGACCCATGGGCTTGAAATTGGATTGAAATGCCCCAAAGAGGAATTAATTATTTTAAACAAAATTAAACAGGAAGTAAATTATTGCGATTACTTTCTTTTCTTTTTTAAGCATGCTGGTTAGTGGTGCAACTTTTGATTTGCAGTAGCTTTGTGATCCCTCAGTGCAGTATCCCTTGTATGTCAAATCTTCAATGAAAGAGATTAAAAATTTCACTTTAATGGATAAAATAACAGAATATTTTGCTTCTAATGTACTTCTTCTTGTGATGCTCTGTAAACGAATATCAGCTAAAAGCATATTTGCTAACAGATTTCCCTTCCTTAAGGCTTTTAAGAGGCTTTATCCTATAACAGCCATAGAAAAGCTGCACCATCCTTAGCTACCTAGTACCAGTGTCAAAATTATTCAAACCTGAAATAACGTTTTTGACTGTTATTCTTCTCCATGGCATCCAAGGAGCCCATTCCTCTGTATTTCTTGAGGCGCACGCCATCTGAAAAGAAATATTCTCC